CTTCCTTTACTCCTCCATCATTTGTCCAGCCTCAATGACATGAACATGAGCCCCTTGTGGCCCAAAGCCGAACCATTCTGTGAAATTCAGGCATCCGTCATAGCCCCTTCTGGCCTGAAGTCGAACCGTTCTGTGAGATTCAGGCAAGCTCACTCGATCTGGAATCAGGTTAATTGTATGAGCTGACAAACCAATAAATTAGGTGAAGCTCTTCTTCATCGTGCGTCCCTCTGTTCAAAGATGAAGGCGATGGTTCGGCGTCAAATGGGGCGACAGCCTACTCACCAGGTTTCTGAACATTGTTGTTATAGTGTTCAGGAGCCATCCCATAGGCTAATGTCAGAACCATTCAGCAGACGCCTTATCCCAGGCTGTCACGGGGCGCATTAAGTTTGTACCGATTCGAGAAGGCATACGTTGTTCCACAAACAGTGATGAATTTTGCTGGGGCAAAGCGGCATTCAGACGAACTTTTCTTCACAGCGTGCCTGTATTTCTCGAAATACATAAAACGGACGACAGGGCCATTACCTAACGATAATTTCTAGACCTGGACAGATACCATTAATTCAGCCACGTTGAATGCGTGGCCGGGGTTGGTACGTAGGTATATTGCGTTATAACCAGCGTTCGAGCCAGGTCTCACAACCCTGTTACCCCGACGATCGTGTATCCTTAATAAATTTTCATATTTAACTCTGTAATATAGCATTTCCAAGTCAAGGCTTGGACATTTCATTCTGTCGTGCTATTTTGCTTTCATCAATCGAACTTCCACTCATTTCATTCCGCACCTGGTTCAAAAATGCTGACCCTCTCCCAAAAACGACTGTCCAGCTCTCTTCATTCGCCATTACAGAATCACTCTCGGAGTGTCTTCTCTTCTTGCGCTCACTTTTCAATTCGGCAATGTTCTTCGACATCTGCCACGTGTTAGCTACATTAAGGTCAGTTTGCCAGTGATAAGGCTGTAGAAGCAAGCAAACGATAATGGGATATCGATAAATGGATAACGATATTGCCTTTCGGCTCACTCGATTTTTTGTTTTTGACGTTTACATTTTCTGATTCATCCATTTCAGTGCCTTGATGTATGGATGATATTTTCTGTGATTTTCATATTTTGTACGCTTGTCGAACTTGCTATTGTATGCCAATTGAATAGGTTAGTCACCAATTTTTGATTTGTTTCACACAGGCAGAATTAGACATCAAAGTAGCTCTACAGCACACTTACTTTAGTTGCAATTATTTTTTCCAAATATAGAGAAAAGCAACGGTAATTACCTGTGATATAAGACGAATTACAGATGGGAACGTGAGCGGCAAATTGGTTCGAAGGTGCTCGGCCATTGGCTCAATCAAATACGGTCAGTCTGATGAATATCCTTCTCTTGGCATTTTCATTCGTTCCGTTGTTGTCAGACTATGGTTGCTGACTGTATGTAGTGCCGCAAATTAGCGAGAGGGGATCAAATATGCAACCACCATGTAACCACGACTACCTCTCTTAACATCACAACTGACCTGAACTCTTTCCTATACTATTCTTTGTGGTTATTAGTACATTAAAGTTTCGATCTTGCTGAAGAGGAAACGCTTCATACGTTCTTACTGTGGGACACTGTTCATGGTTTTGAAGTTTACAGCTTTAGTAGATTCCTTGTGGGTCCGCCCTCAGCCAGTACCAACACAATCGCATTAGCGTTCGATTACATACTTGTCGTACTCAGTAAGTTCCGAACCACTGCCGGTGTTCCCTACGGTGCTTTTATTCTTCCGGACCAGCGTTGTGCAATTCAAGCAACCCCGAGGAATAGAAAGCGAGGTTGTCATGGGCAGGTACTCCTCCGCGATTTCATCCCTCCTCCGAAATTTGATCCCATGTCATACCTAATGTAAGGTTCCTTTGGTACTACTCCACCTCTGCTATTTCATATTTTTATTCATAGTTTTTACTTGGAATGAACATTTTTGCGCACACCGCGTTTTGAGATACAGATCAACCTTTAGTGGTGCTGCGCACGACAGGCGACGCAATCTACGACGAATAAAGAAATCGGCCAACGCAAAGTGTGAATGCCGACAGGCGCATGTTTGTGTGAAGTAGATTTCCTTTGTTGCGCGGGGTTCCCGAGGAATGACCACGTTCGAACAATAAATAGTGGTCTTAACTGTTGTGCAGCACTGCTACGCCAAAGTTGTAAAGAGGTCGCAGCTCGAACTAATTGAGCAGTAAAACCTGTAGAATGTTTCAGAAAGACTCGACGGAATGAAAATCGCTCAAACGGCGAAGGAGTCCGTCGGCGGCTTCCGTTAAGTTCCGGCCACTCACCACCGAAAGAATCGCCTGCGCATAATACTGTAATTACACGGCAAACAGCTAACTCCGTCATTCATCAGCGCAAACCTTTTGATCAGGTTTGCTTCTTTACAATTAGCCTCAGTGGTAGTGTTTTTTTATGTATTGTTATCGCTATTTATCACATCACGTGTGTCCTGCGTAAAGACAACAATAAAATTTACAAAGAATTGAACCTTATATGAAAATTTCTAATGATGTTTACCTATCATATAACGTGTAGCCGTCATATATATGGCGTGATCTAATTGCATAGCCGATAGAATCGCACGCCCACGTGAATGAACGCCTTCACAGTGTTTAGCATGGTCAATGAGATACACCCAGACGGCTACTAGTATCAAGGGTCTTAATTAAAGCATCTGGTTTTTATTGTTGTTTTCACAAAGACCTCCCCTTCATTCTTTCAAAATATCTTCTCAGACGTGGGGACGTCATTACAGTGAAAGTGCCCAATTCAACTTCGACACCTTGAGGTAATGGTTAGTCACAAGTATTATATGCTTTAGCTCCACGCAGTAATGAGTAGAAAAATTTCTTTTTTTCTGATGGCAGCATAGGAAGCAGTTGGCATCTGCTATCTTTATGCCCTAAAAGGAAGTTCAGAAGGAGGGGGGGGGGGGGGGGGGGGGGGGGGGGGGANGGGATGGGGGAGGGGAAGACACCGCTCTTTTTCAGCATTGAGCGCTAGAGTGCAAAGAAGGAGCAGTACTCAACTTCGCGGGCCTATAATTGTTCTAGGAATGTTTCTTCACCGAGAAAATGCAGTTTTTTTGACTTAATGATCCCCTCAAATAAGTTTTTGCCCCTGCGGGCATTGTTCCTGCTACTCTTTATGCACCCTTAAGTATCTATCGCGCCAGCACGCCAGCAACTCATTTGGTCTGCGTTTTTCAAATAAGACTTAAAAGGGACTTTGTACCAACGTTGTTTACGACCATATTCTACTCCTGTACGTTCGTATGGTACAATTTTCTGCCTATTCATAGCCCTTAACCGAATTCCACCTCTGAAGGTTGCGTCTCAAGACAGCTGCTCTTACGATGAAGAAAAAAAGTACGGTTGCTGGCGGAATACGGTACAACGACTAGTGTATGCTCTCTGTCCGCCTGATAGAGATTGGACAATCACCTCAGTACAGGTAAGATTTTTTAGACGATCAACAGGCAATCATCAGAGTAGTGAAAGTGCTATGCTTAATATGGGCAATTTCAGGTAGATCGGTGCTCAATGATCATGTTCCCGCTGTCATTTCTTGTTTTTAACATCGTGTGAGCCTTTTTTATTCTTTTTTTCTTTAGGATTATCTAAAAATCATGCAGTAAAGTGAACACCATTAAATGAAAATAGATGACCTCAGGGTCTGCTATTTGCAGATTTTCTAGAAATAGTTCTTTCCGTTTTGTCTTGGAAACGATTGGCCACATATACATGAGACTGCTTTGCCTCAAATTCCACTCAAAAATGAACCAGCCCGCAGTACACGATTTAGAGAGTGGCCTTGAAAGACTTTTGGTCGAGCAAGGTGATTGAACGCGTGCCCCGCTGATCGCACGCGGAGGCTCGCTGAATTTATGCATGCCCAGCACGCATAAGGCTTTGCTCCCTCCCTTTTTTCTGGCCTCCAAGCCTTCACTGAGTCTGGTTCTGAACTCAGGTACAGCCCACTACAAGAACGCTCTGCCCACAACCGATGCGTCTCGTTCATATCATTCGTTGACTCATTCCTTCCCTTTCCTCATTTTCCTCCGGAGTCTCGACTATTGTGAGATCAAATTGAGAAGTTTCACCATGGCACCGCCCAGCTTCGGCGCATCCCGCCCCCTCTGGTTGAACTCTACCAGGTCACATGTTCTCTGTCAGTCTTACCCTATGCCCATTCCAAACCTGATCCTCAGATGTTTCTTTGGGTAATATCGAGTTTTGGGACAAACAGGCAGACGAATGCGAGCGCGTGATATATGTATGGTAAGTATAGGTTCAATAGATAGGATGTTATAGTTTTAACAAGGATAACTTATAGCGTCGTAAGTAGTAGGAAAAAAGCGTAGGAATGTTTTTGCTACTCATGAAGTGCTTTTCCGCTGGTTTCAAATCTAATGTAGATAGTTGGCGCTGTTGGAAATATTTGTATTTTTATTATGGTATATGGTCGATGATAATCCCTGTGACACACTATAAGGAGACACATAAATTGTTTGTTGGAGGTGAATGCTCAGCGAGTGCTAGTGCTTTCGAAATAATGGGACTATCATCAGTAGTTTAAAAGAGCCAACAGACCATGTTCTATGGTTTCTTCATAAAACGTTTGGTCAACCCCTCCGATCTGTTCGGACACACCTGCCCAACACTTACGAGTTTCTTGATCGCCTACGTTCCTGTAAGCTCCAAGGAAACTGCGTGGTAGAGTCATTCGATGTAACTGCGTTTTATATGAACTTAAACAAGATTAAGCTCTTCGAGCAGTTTCCGAAATTTTGGGCGATTGGGCGCCCAAAATTTCGGAAACTGCTCGAAGAGCTTAATCTTATGTATGAAGCACGAGTTGCTACGTACAATTTGAGCAAGGTTCACATTATCCCTCTGATACAGGAATGCCTGAATTGCAATGTTTACAAGTGGAGCGGGCAGTACCCCTTCCAGTAAAGGGAATTTGTCGTGACTAAAGCTAGGATCGGAGCCAGCGACCGGCTCCGATAATTGTACTGCACCGCTCACCAGTTATGCAAACACTTGGCAAATTTTTGAAATTTCTCGGTCATTGCGTAACTTTCCCGATATGAGGATTTTTCAGATATTGGTCTATATATTTTGCGAAAATGGATCGACCCATGTGATCTACAATCGTTTCTTTTCGCGTTTTTCCCATGAAACATGTGTGTTTTTGATTTTCGTTCACGGACTTACAAACCTCTGGCCGAGCCACTTTTCTGACTGAGGAATTCAATTTTATGCTATTCGCATTCTCGCAACATTTCCTTCCTGAATAGGAAGTTTTCCTTCTATTTTTTTCATCGATTACTGATTTCCTATACAAATTACTCATATGTAACTCACTTCTCGTGTGCTGAACTTTTTTCTTCGAATTGAGGCCATGTTCTGCTCGAATGCTGGACCGTTATTATTAATCTGCTAGGTATCACATTGGACATTGATGATGGGCGTTGACGCAATGCCATAACAGTCTCTGGCATGATTTAATAGTATAATAGTAGGACCTGGTAGATGCATAGTTTTTTAGATAGTTGAACTCGCAAAATCAAATCGGCTCATACTGTTTGTAGGATTTTTATGTATGTGTATATTCATCAACAGAGAAAACAGGTACTTCTGAAAGACTACGCGATATTCCTTCCGTGTAGAATTCTCTCATTAAAAATGGCTTTTTGGGATGNTTTATACGTTACTCATCATATTGCAGATGTTTTATCGTGTTTGAAATGAAGAATTTCTTGCTTTTTGTTGTCTCGCTGATGAGAAAATGTGTTTTTTTATTTTGGTTTACCGATCGTTACTAGTTCGATACTTCTCATCTCTTTACTACGCATTCATTTCGGGTAGCTGCACCGCTACTGCACCCAAATCTGCCAATGGACATTCGCAGTGTTGTGTGGACACTGCCTCTATGTCACATCTGGAGCGAGAGCGGCTCCCTGTTGAGATCACTGCGTGCCAACCAGGCGAGCTAAATGTAGTAATTTGTTCGAAACCTACCTGATCCGGCATCCTGTTTGCTTCATGGATTCAGCCTTATTCAAAATCATTAATGCCTTCGCAAAGGCAGCATGCACTACTGTTTGAACTTTGAATCCGAACGTTAGTAGGGTGAAGTGTACACACGGTTCAGTGAGTGGACACCCTTGAACTTGGGTGGCTGACTCTCGGAGCAATGCGCCGTCCTTATACAGCAGCGCTCAAAAGTCTTTGGCCAGACGCTTTTACGTTTTTTCGTTCATAACTTTTTTCTTACTGAAGCAAATCACGCGAAATTTTGATATGTTTATCTAAAGCATATTTCACACTATCCAACACTATTTGACTGCAAAGCAGCGATATTCACTTAACTAAGGGCAAGGTGTTTATTGCGGTAGCAGACTTCGCTAAAAGCAATGTTAGTAACGTCTGCAGTTATTCGGATCCTATGTGCGTTTTTCTCCTCTAATATTCTCGGCATTAGCGCTCGTACAATTTAGACATGGCAAAAAGGAAAAGAGTTCCAAAAGGGTCATCCTCCGTATTTCCAGTTGATTTTGATTTTAAGCTCTTTGAGATATGTGGAACATGATTAGGTTGTAGGTTAATAGTAGTAAATATTCGCAATGCAATCATGCTACACATATCTAAATTTCGCATGATTAAATCCAGTAGGAAAGGAGTTACGGCTGAAAAAAGCGGCTGAGGGAGCATTTGACCGAAGACCTTTGAGCGTCACTGTATATGGCGGGTTATTGGGGGATAATAGCTACACTACCTTTGCCGAGTAACGGAACTTCTCCCTGAAGATTTGAATACCAAATGGAAGGATACGGAGAGTCGCCGAATAGCTGCTTTCATAGTCCGCCGGCTCGCCGAACGGCGGACTATGAAAGCAGCCAATTCCTTTGGCTTGCGGCAGTGGTTCTTCGGCGACTCTCCGTATCCTTCCATTAGGAATTCAAATCTTTCCTTCATGGCGCGCGATCGCGTGCGGCGAGCGCAACACGCCGTTCGGGAGAAGATGTCAGACCCACCTTCTCCGGCATGTCCGATCAGCTTGTAGATAACGTTAGACTCAACTTACAAGATGAGCTATACAAAATCTATCAAAAAAACCGTAACACCCAACCAACCATCCCTAACTTTACAGATGCGATATGACTAAATGTAATCATAGAGAGTATTCTCTATACTCCTGGTCGAGAAAATGAATGCCAATCACTTTTGTACGTAGCCCTTTACTGTGGTCTTCTGAGCTGTTGGTCCCTCCACCTCACCGAACTGTGTCGTTCCGCCTGCCATCGGTGTGCGTCCTGGCCCGCGCGAGAATCACAACTCCTTCTGGCTTCTCCTGAAGCCTCACATGCTCTATTGGCTAACCAAAGGGTTTCCATTTCCCATGGAACTTTGAGTAGAGACCTAAGTATATCGATAGAGTTTGGAAAGTTATTAAGAAATATGGAAATTAAAACTGCAAAAAGAGTCTACCAACAATGGTGTGGGCGTTCGAAGTTTGCTTGCTTAAAGCATGAAGAGATAGTGCCAGTTGATAAGCGCAGTTGCCATTGGCTACAAAGGTCACCGTGGAGTCTGGCAGTGCTCTCCCTCTCCACGTGAGCGATGAGGGTTTGCTCCCCGTTGTCCTTTTCGCTTTTGCAAAGCGTGCTTTCATCCGAATAAATGCTCCTCAGCCGTTTTTGCTAACTGATTTGAGTTAGCGCTTTGTTTCAGCTATCATTGCGATCACCAAACTGTCACCTATCGCCGCACTTATTCAAAATTTTTCAAGTCATATCTGTAGCGTTCTTTCATTTTCAACACTAAAACACACATACCCACACCCAATGTGAAGTAGTCTTGGACACGCGAGAAAACTCAATATCGATGAAACAACCCAAAAATAGGCAAAGAAAAAGTGTATCTTTTTTGGACACAAATCGATTGTGCGTTTTATTTACGACTGTAGAGAGACAGCATGTACATATAAGGTTCGCATTTTGTGGACAACATATCTGCTTCACTCATTTCACTTTTTTCACGTTTATCCGTTCTAAGTGATTCGGGTTTCCCCCTCCACTTCAAGTAATTTTTTAGTAAGTGCGATGATAGGTGATAGATAGGTGCTCGAGAGAGCTGAAACAAAGCGCTGACTTGAGTTAGTAAGAAAAAACGGTTCAGGAGCTTCCATTCGGATGAAGGCACGTTCAGCAAAAGCGAAAGCGACAACGGAGAGCAAACCCAAATTGCTCATTCGGTGAGGGAGAGCATTGCCACAACGCCACGATGATCCTTGTGGCCTTTGCGGGCAGCTGCGCTTATCAAGTGGCGCTACTTCTCCATGCTTTGAGCATGCAAGCTTTAAACGCCCACACCTTTGTTGGTAGACTCATTTTGCAGTTTCATTTTCCATATATGTTAATAACTTTCCGAGCCCCACCGCTATATCTAGGTCCCATTCGAAGTTCCATGGGAAGTTGAAACCCTTCCCTGGTAAGACTTCTCTGACAACATCGCATAATTTCTTCTCGCTCAAGCCTTCACTCCAATTTTCCCAACTCTCTCAACTCGGTCCTATCTTGTTTGTAGGCTTGATCTCCTCTGTTTCAGATAATCGATATTCCTTGTCCATCAGCTCCTTTCTTTGCATTCTTGTCGTTCCCTTTCAATCGAATGATTTACTCACCGGGTAACGCCGAATCTTTCTGAAATGCAGAAGCAGATGCGGTTCCCTTCATGTTTTGTTCAACTTGATCAAGACGGTTCGTGATCGCGTCCATTTTCATCTTCAGCAAGTTTAATTTAGCTTCGATAGATATTTTTAGCTCCGTTGTTGATGAGCTTGTATATAGTTGTTCGAAACGCATTAGGTACTACTTGATTTTCTCGGATGAAGAGACGATAACGGCGGCAACTAACTGGTCGACTTTACATGGTGGCTGGTTGCATGATACGACTTTCCTGAAAAGAAGTTCTTTTAGCACTGTTCCGAAAGTGCGACCTTTTTTCTAATTGGCGGAAAGACTTCTTCCGTCCATGATGACAGCAATGATGAAGGCGTTGACGTGTCTTTTCTCTCGTGCTTGGGCGTGTGGGCGGGTTTGGATCCGACCGTTGCCGCTGGCATCTTTGTAGGATTCGGTCGTTTCAGCGGCACTGTTGGTTTGGACTGTGGGGTTGGTCTTGGCACAGATAGTGAAGCGACACTTGTGCTTTTCTCAGCTGTTGCGGATGACGTCTTCGGCTTATCCATGGCTCCATGGCTAAATATGCGAAACTAAGTTAAATATGCGAAAAAAGTGGATTATTTCCATGCGACAGGTAGAGATGTAGTTGAGGTTTCATAGAAAATCGTCGGGATCTTTGTTATGTTTCGGGAATCTCGCCACTATGATTCTCCATCACGAGAAGTGTTAGGAGCACGATTCCCCATGCCTTCGCCTCGCGGGGCCTCTTTTGAAGAACGCGTATAGATTCGCATCTACAATTACTGGAGTAGCACTTGTAGTAGTTCTTAGGGTCTGAGCTCTAAAGTATCCTTATTTATAGAGAGGCGGATATTGTTGTCGCACAAGAATAACCCCGTCGCTGAGGCTACGTCTAAGTACTGGTTCTGTGACAGGCTCGATTTTCATAACCGTTATTCGGTGAGATTTTCAAAAAGAATCCCACACTTGCGTTCGGGGCTCAGTACAGATAATTGAACGATCAGCTCCAGCGTCGAACAATACATGGATAGGTTCTAAACAATACATGGATCTTGTAGGCTTAAAACGTGCGCTTGTCCTACGAGAATGTGGATCTCTGCTATGATTCGCTGATGGTTGACGAAAGCAGCTGCGTTTGGTATATCATCGAAGGTTTGTTGAGGCTCTGATACAAGAATGCCGTCTTAGACCAGTTTCGGAGTTCTGACCACTTTGCTTAGAAGTAACTTTATTCGATGTCGGAGTGGTTTTTTGGTTCGAGGTCTATGGATGGTCTCTTTGTCGCAAAAGGGAGTTGCTTGCTGAGAGAGGTATGGTGACAGTGGTTTTTACACACTCTGCATGATCCTCCTTCGCATTGCACTGCCATCACTTGCAGAGCCACAATTGAGACATAGACTCCGTTTCCGCATGAAGGTCATTTGTTTTCCGGTACGTTGCAGTCATTGCTGCACGATCATTTTTATCACAGCAGAAGGAAGAGGTTTCCGTTCGAAAGCTGAGACGATTTTTCCCTGCATACGGCTATGCCTCCTGTCTATTGCGGGCTCTTTTGCAGGTTGTGGATCATATTTTTTTCCAATTCGGGTGACGATTTTGGGCTACGTACTAATGCATTCCTTCGCAGTTCAGTGTTCTAGTTGTCGTTTGGTGACCGCTGTTCTTTCATCCGTAAGAAGTGACGTCGCTCTACTTCTTATAACTTTCTGGGAGGTTGATCTTGCGAAGAGCAATCGTCAACGTTTTGTGGTTTCAGTTGGAGTTGAGATACAATTGATGACAACTCTTTAAAAAGTTTCTCTTGGTGCTACCCGCTCTTTAGAATCCACAAAGTGCTTGAAAGCTCCGCAGTCCTATTTCCACTTGCCGCGGCTAGATATGGGAATAACATCGGTGGTAGTTTCGTCTGCGGAATTTCTGAAAAGTGTGTAGGAGTCTCCACTTGATCGAGGTCCTCTATGAGGCACTCAAAAGAGGTCAGCACTGTCTATTCGTAACCCAGGACACCTGCGGCTCTTTCGACGTTCGAGTTGAACTCTTTGAGAATATCCTCCAACGATGGGGTGTCAGGCGCCAAGCTGTCGGCAGCACTGCTGTTATTAAATCGAGTGCCGACTACCACGCGGGATAGACAGATTTTATTGACCTCGAACTTCGGTAATTAAATCGAGCAAAGTATGTTTAAAAAAATAGGAAGGGATGAAGAATAAGTGAAATGAGATCAAGGAAGGATTACATACTATGCTGAAAAATATGAGTGATTAAAATAAGAAGAAATGCACTTTTACGTCCAGTCCTTCATATGCACCATAATCACCGAACACATCAAACACTCTTTATGCCCTCCTTTCTATGTTGACGATCTCTCGAAAAAACAACATTGAGTGAATGACTGCGCCAAAAGCTAAGCAGTAGACAATGAAATGAAAATATCAACTGGTGTGATCATGAAACCGAGCATCGGTCTCATCACATTAAATGGAATTCTAAACCTGCGGAAAAATAATCGAACGACAGTAGAGAACAACCATAGGTAAAGACGAAATCACTATTACCTTTATGGAATATCACATTTGTGATAGCTGTAGCGTCCCAAAGCATCGTTAGTACTGAGCGATTCCAATCCCAGAATGGCCCTCTCTTTCCGAAACTTCTCCGCTTCGTTCTCACATGAGTCCTCCGCTCGTGCTCCTCCGAGGGAGGTTGCAGAATAGCCGTTATTCGGTCCTTATTGACTACTGAGCCTTTTCAACGCCTTCGTTAGTAGTCCCTGCCTAGTGGACAGGGGAGTAGCCATGTTAGCCTTGTACGTAGGTCACTTCGGTCCATAGTGGTGCGTTCACTGAGTTAGTGATGCACGACTCCCACCATCAGCATGCACTGACAAGACAGTGTGCAAGAAAACGCGCTTTACTCACTTACTTAGGTCCGTCCAATATCAGCACGTTCCAATGGATTCTTTTCTTAACAGTACTATTTTATCTATGAAGTGATTACAGTTGTGATACTAGCAGCCAGCGTCAATGCGACAGTCCTCTGTATCGTTCTTTAACTTTGCCAACTGGAGAACCTTTACAATCGTCCTTGTCTCTTTCGAACTTCCCTGGACCCGTGCACAGAGCGCTGTGGTGGGAGAATCTTCAGCGATCCACAGAGTAGAGTGTTTCGAGTCAGTTTCGACACGAAATTGTCTTTTCTCTTCTTCAACTTTTCAACTTTCATGAAGTTAGAGCAGTAATACTATCATTTTTGGTCGCAAAAGGAGCAGTGAAGGAAGGCGTCTTTTTCCTTCATACTGTTGTCGAGGGCTGATGCTCTTCGCGAGGCGTTACACTTGCAGTACAGCGCTCCTTCGAGATCCTCAATCTGCGACAACAACCATCGTTATTTCTCTTTCACCTTCAGTGTACACCTGATCCTTTTTTAGTTCGTTCACCTCGTCCTTTTTGAGAGTGACTTAGTCCTTTTTCGGACCATCTTCCCATGGATCTTTTTTTTGGTACAATCCTTGCCGAGCTGATGATCGTCGTCATCACCGAAGCCTAACAGCCTTTGACCACATTAACTTCTTTTTTCTGGACGGACTTCCTGACCACCTTTCTGAGGCAGGCACATATTTTTACACATATTTTTCTGAGGCACATATCTTTCCGGCCAAATTGGCGACTCTGGCTTCCTGATTCCTGAAGACTGTATCTGCGGTTGGTGCTTGGCGGTGCTTTTTGCTGAGTTGCATGCGGCGGATTTTTGTCGGTACCATTTCCCAAAAATTGTCTACGCGCAACTTGTTCGTTGGTACAGAACCACACACTGGCGCACAGATATTTATCCCTCAAACTTGGGTAATCAAACCTTTTTAACAACACAGGTAAACAATCAACAAGTAACAACAACCATGACATATGAGGAGCAAGGCACTGACATAAATAACAATCAGCCAATTATTAGCATTCTAAACTAAGGCGCATAAGGCAGCGAACCGGCGAAGGTGAAGAAAAGATGAAGGCGCACAATGCGGCGAAGTGATAGAAGTGAAGAAAAGGATTAAGACGTACAGTGACGTAAAGTGACGGGAATAAAGAAGAGATGCGCACAGCTCTCCTTTCCCCCTTATATTCGGCTCGCTATGTTCTGGAGAGATGAGTTTCCTTGATAACGCACACTCTTCTGCTATGTTTTGAGAAGCGCATCGAAGCTGCGAGCACGGCGCTATATTGTGAGAAGTGTTTTGAAACTACGAGCGCGGCGCATCAGAAGCTGCAATGATCGCGGTGATTCCGCGACATTCCGGCGCGCGACTCCTATGTTATAGCAGGTCTTGGAGGAAGGACCACTCATGGCGTAAATGACATAAAGTGTCGAGACATCCCAGCGCGCTCTACGGGCTCTTTCAATACGCGATCTGTCGTCATCACTGTGTTCGGGAAACGTGCAAAGTGCTGAATGGTGTCCTTGCCCACGACAATGATAACATTTGGTTAGTACTTGCTACATGTCTCGTCTTGAGCACAGATCTCTCCAAACACATACACCGAACATGCGCAACTACGGAATCACGTTGATCTCTTGCGGTGACCACTTCGGTGCATGAATCGGAGTAGTGTTCTCCGGCGGCGCCACAAAAGCGCATCTCATGAATCTTTCTTGTTCGCGCGCTATCCACTACCGCATTTCTTAGGTGACGCTGAATAGTTCCCCCGAGTAGATATGGTGAGACATTGAGTCCGATTGTATCTCGGGTGAAGCGCAAAACCTTGATGTTATCCTCAATGATTGGCGCATCAAGCTATTTAACCCATAAGATCATTGTGGCGTCCCTATCCAATTCAAGAAGGTGGACTTGCAAGAAAGCCTTTTCGACATGACGACGGCGACGTATTTTGAGATGTGAAAGCGCAGCAGCATTGCATATAGTTCTGGTAATATCAGTGGGCCTTGGTCAGACGTCGTTTAAAGATGAGTTATCCTTGAAGTGCGCAGATGCATCGAACACGATGCGTAGTTTAGTGGTTTGCTTATGAGGGGTGATCACTGGTTGACGTGGAATGTAATGGAGTACTGATCCCGTTTTGACCAAAGGATCNGTGACCACTTCGGTGCATGAATCGGAGTAGTGTTCTCCGGCGGCGCCACAAAAGCGCATCTCATGAATCTTTCTTGATCGCATGCTATCCACTACCGCATTTCTTAGGTGACGCTGAATAGTTCGAACACGATGCGTAGTTTAGTGGTTTGCTTATGAGGGGTGATCACTGGTTGACGTGGAATGTAATGGAGTACTGATCCCGTTTTGACCAAAGGATCTGAGACTGTTTCAATGCTCCCTTTGTTCTCTTGCTCGACGAAAGTTCTATCATAATCTCTTAAGAGTGAAGGTGTCTTCTTGTGTAAGTGGATAACTGAGTGTAGCGTTTCTGCGCGATTGCTCTGTTTGATGGTAACGGAGGGTGATTTTCCTTGTATGGAAGTCGAACGTAGTAGCCATACTTGCGCCTCTGTATTGTAACTTCGAAATATTTTGCGACCACTTTGTTGGTTGCTTCTTTTTCGTTACACGTTGTTCCCGTGAACTC